TAAGGGAGGGCTTTGGTAGAAAGATTAGAATTTCAGAAAGCTCTTGGAAAAACAAAAGTAAAAATAGGTCCAGAGAAGGACAACAGGGGATTCTAGGTATAGAGAACAGCAAAAGAAAAGTCCACAAGTACAAGAGGAGCTGCATATGCTTACATTTGGCTAAAATTCAGCACATGAGACTATTGGCAAGAAGGAAATAGGCAGGAAGGTTAGTGTCTATGGGATGACCTAAAATGCCATGCTCAGTGATTTGGACCTTCTGGTATAGTGTGGCACCATGAAAGGTTTGGAGAGTAGGGCCTATAGTCAAGGCAATAGCATAGGAATATTCACTGGGCAGTGGTTAGTGAAAGAGGCTGAAAGGGTATAAGGAGCCTACTCCCAGAGCTCTTTGGAGAAATCAGCAGAGGCTAAGTGACACACATGAGTGGTAGATATGAGTGACATTTCTTGAAATCTTGCTGAAGTTCAAACTAAGGAAATACGTTGTACAAAAGATACCCCAAGCAATCTAAATACCTCATATTCAGAAATAGGAACTTAAGAATGGGTTGTTTTAAATCATTGTTAGAATCATTGACTATTAGGTTTAAAAAGAAATTTAGAAATCATCTATTCTTGCTTCATTTTACAGGTAAGTAGCAGGTCTAAAGCGAAAAGTAATCTATTAAAAAGATGCAAAGATAATGCCTAGGTAGGACACTGTAATGAAGGTTTCCTAAATCTTAGGCTACCTGGGGACCATCCCTAAAATTAGCATATGATTTTAACAGTATTTGGTTATTTCACCAAAGCATCCCTTGAATCATTCTTCTTTATTCTTTTCTTATATATCTGAAAGGCCCCATTTCAGTCTCCTCATCTGCAGGCTCTTTTTTAATAACTTTAAAAACATGGTTCGCCAGCAGGAGATGTAGTTCAATAGTACAGTGTTTGTCTAGCACATTTGAAGCCTTGAGTTCCATCCCCATTATCTCATAAAAAAAAAAAAAAAGAAAGAAAAGCAAACAACAACAACAACAACAAAAGGGTTCTCTTTATATGCTTTCAACCTGCTTCCTTGGCTACAACTAATACTTCTAAGTAGAAGTATATAAACTAAGCCTCTAGTCTTATAGGTTTGGTGTAAACCTACATTGGACATTTCCACCCAAGTTTCCAAATAAAATGTATTATTTTCCTCTGCTACCTCTTTCAAATTCCCTAGTTGGATTAAAAAAATCATCTAGTCAACCTAGGCCAGAAAAAATAGTTACCTTTAGTTCTGTCCTCTCCTACCTGCTACTCTAGATGTCTCCTGAATATGGCTTCCTTTCCTTTTACCTGGACCATTGCAGTTATATTCTAATTGAGTACCTGTTAAACATCTTTTCCTCAACCAGTGTAGTTTCACAGTGCCTTTCAGTTACCTTCTAAAGATACATATTTGGACCTGTCAGGCTCTCTTTGTTTCTTACTTGAACTAAACAGCTTCCTAACTGAGGGGCTGGTTAACTTTCTCTATAAATTACCAGACAGTAAATTATTAGGCTTTGGGGACCAGGCTCAACTCTGCTGTGGTAGTGTCATACATCAAGCATCATGAATAATCCTGTGTCTCAATAAAACTTTATATATGGATGTATTATTTTTAATGTGTTAGAAAATGCTGGGTTTTTTTTTTTTAAGTTGTTGTTTTTGTTGTTTGTTTAAGATGGAGTCTCACTAAGTTGTCCAGGCTGGCCTTAAACTCCTAGGCTCGAGTGATTCTCTTGCCTCAACTTCCCAAGAAGCTGCTGGGACTACAGGTGCATGCTACTGCACCCAGAACAACACATTATTTTCATTTTCCCCCCAACTATTAAAAAATATAAAAACAATCCTTAGCGCATGGGTCATACAAAAACAGATAATGGTCCAGAAATTTGGCCCAAAGGGTATAGCTGCTGACCATAGCCTAACTGATCTTGTTTCCTTTTATCAACTCTCCAAAGTCACTCTCCACATTGCTGTCTGAGTCAGGATCACAACACAAAAAGTCGATCATATTAACAACCTGCTTAAAATGCATCAAGAACAATCAATCAATTACTCTTAGAATAGCCAAATCTTCAGAGCATAGCCTACAAGTCCTCTTGTCACTGATTTCCTTTTCAGTCTTATCTCTTATCAAACACCTACCCTGATTATAGAATTTATGTTCTCTCCCATCTTCATGTCTTTGCATATATAGATTCCTCTATCTGTGACATTCACCTCACCATTTTTCACCTTGAGAATTTCTACCCATGAACTTATTTATCAAGATTGTTACCAAACATCTTCCCCTTCCTATCACCTTTCATTATCAGCTTTCCCTGATTATCACCTACTTCCAATGCAGAAAAAGTCAATTCTCCTTTCTACATGTTCACGTGGTAATCTTTACTTCTAGAATTTCACTGTTGTCACACTCTGTTATAAATGCATTATGAACTGCCTCCTTTCATTGAATGTGAGCAATGTAAGGGTAGAAACTGAGTCTTCTTATTCTCTTTAGGCCAAGAGTACTTATAAGATCATAGATGCTTAATAAATATTATAAATTAAGTGAAAATTATACTCACCTATTGGGTCCTGCAATAAATGCTAAATTTCCATCTTCCCCTTTAAAATCCAATTTAAGCTTACATAAGGAGAAACACTGAAAGAGTAGAAGACTGTTTTTCTTTCAGAGTGATGTAGAGATTTCTACTTCAGTTTAAAAAATTTTTTTTGCCTCTAAAAATTTGGATTCTTATTTCACCATTATTTTCTAATGTGGTTTTCATATTCAATTTTAAACTTTGTTTAGAATATGCCATTTAAAATGTTTGAAACTGACTATTTGTGTGGGAGTTATATATTTCAGCTGGTCCACACTGAAGAAAAAAGATGCAATGGTTCTCATTTACACACCTGGGTATGCTGAATCAATAAAGAATGTTGAGGTCTAGCAAACTCTTTAAGAAAACAAAAAAAGCATTTCAAAAATATTTAACCCAATAACAAAGTTATATTTTCAGTTCTAAGGAGAGATATGTACAATCCCTTACATTTTAACTGTCATCTTTAAATTTATAAATATAGATTTTACAAACCATGAACATTAAATACGAAATGCTTACAAAAAAGAGTATTGCACTTAGAAAATCAGTAATTGTGTTTTATTTCCTATAAAACTAGGTTTAAATTTTTGTAGAAATAGTGTAAATACAGCACAACAGGGAAAAAAAAAGCTTTCTACAGAACCAAAGCAAAACACTTTTTCTTAAGAACAAAGGAATTAGTTACCACTCGTCCATTTTCAGCAGTTGCTGCATCTTAATATGCTCTACTTGGAAGAAATTGATCTTGTCAAACAGTACAAATTGATACTGCTCAGAAAACCTCTCTACAGATTTTGACTTCAGAAATTAACTCTCTGAATAAGAGAGAATGGCAAAAGGGGCAAAACTAGCATTAATATTTATTTACTGAAGCTGAGCTACACTGAGACATTAAAAGCTGTCCTATTTCTGTGGGTCAGTAGTGCTTAGCACAAAAATGGTTGGTTCTCAGTTGAAGTCTGACAGAAAAGAATAGATATCTACATTATCATGATGAAGTAAATTCTGAAACTTCTAAGATTAAATAGCTATAGGTATTATGTTAATATTATGTTCTCAGTTTCACAGTGATAATAGGCATTAAAAGAAACTATTCTGTAGTATTAAGCAATGTTTACTCAGAAAAGTGTTATATCTATTGAATTTTTTTTACATGTATAAATGATTTTTTATCTCTTTCTTTCATCTTTTTCTTTTCACTGTTTAAATAGGGAAGTGTCAAACATTTGGATTATTATCATAACAAAATGTTTTTAACAAAGTTTGATTTTAACAGAACTGGAGGCATCTTAACACTAACCCAAAACTTTGGGAGGTTCACCAACCTCTAGAATATTTTTTCTCCAAATGCAGGCTGTTCAAGTGGTGCTTTTCTCCATCTGTTATCATACCGTGCTCAGAATTACATTGTCATATTTAATGTAAAAGGGATCAGTCCCCTTTCATAGTTTAAATTCAACACAGTACTATAATTGGAAGACCAGTGTTTTTCTATTTTATAAACTAAATCAAATATCATAAACTTACATGTGTATTTAGACAAAATTCTCTCTGCAAACTGAAAAACTCTAAGAATGAATAAACCCAAAGGCTTGATCTGAAAACTGAAAAACTGTACTAAAACTCAAAGTGAGAAGAAACCACTTACATGGTAAAGTGATATATTGACTATATTTGAATTTTTCCCTTTGTGTATTTATGTATGTGCATGTGTTTGTGTGCTTCCAATACAGCAAATTCTCAATGCTTGCAACCTAGAGAGTTTTATTTTAATCTAGGGCTGAGCTATATGTTTACTAAAGTTTACAACAATGATGATCACATTGCAAATTTCATGGTGGAAACAATGCAATTTGAAACTTCAATGGTGTAAATATGATTTCAATAATGATTTGACCATGAATAGTGCCAATCGATAGCATCTCTAAATTTACACCTCTTTAAGATGCAGATCCTTATTTTGTATCAGCTCCATTTCAATTTGCATCTTAGGATTTCTTATGCTCGGTGCCTTTCACTACTGACAGTATCTCATTATTTTCCTAAACATATTCCTCAGATACTTCATTTCAACATTTTTATTAGACACAGGATTAACAGGAGAGGAGTGGTGGTGGTAGAAAAAAATGTCATTTTGCTTGTATTGATAGAGAATCACTTAAATATTTGAGCATGGTAAATGAAAGGTTTTGTAATCTATCAGTAAATCCCTGCCACACTTATCATTCACATGTCTGGGTGTTTTACTTACCACATCTCCACTTTTCTTAATATGCTTGAAAGCTGTGTGTGAATTGAATGACTAAGACTAACTCTAACAACTGTTTGGAAGCCTGTGGCAAAAATCAGTGGAATGAAATCAGTGCTGGGGTGCGTAATGGGATTAGGGAGTACCTGGTGAGGTGCAGTTGGTGCTCGGATTCGCCCAGCAGTTCTGTTAGTTTCAGGCACTCCTCTCTGGCCCGGGCTGCCTTCTGCTGCTCCTGTTCCATGTGCTGCTTGCTTTCACTCAGTTCTAGTCTCAATTTCTCTATTTCCTTAGGTAGAGAGAAAGGGTGGGGGGAAGCATCTATATCAAATATATGCACTTGACTTCAAAATTAGATCATTTTTATTTTTACCATGAATTTTAATGTGATGAAAAATTATTAGAAAATTTAGGCTAGCTTCTGTTTTATGACAAAGGAAATATGCACATCAAAAAATGCACATTAGTGAGGTTTTTTTGGATTGTAACATTAAGATTGATTCTTAAAATGAAATTATTAAATAAGAGTAGTCAAGATGAATAATCAGCATTTTCATTCTAAAGCTTGTTCCCTTTAAAAAGTCATTGGAACTTAAAAATTCACAATCTTTAAAATGTAACATTTTTGTCTAAGAGATTTGATCAGATACATGTCGTAATTTATATCGGATAAGTGACTTTTTACTGTGAAAGATAGATTGATGGTTTCATTTAGATGTTATAAAAAACAAATTAAATATAAAAATATTTTAGGTATCTTTTAGGAAAACATGAAGTATAGAAGAAGGCATCATTATGATACTGAATATTATTTGGAAAAAATAATTCAGCATGAGAACCTTTGGCTTACAAGAATATGAGATTTCAGAGCTAAAATAATATTACAATAAAATTTGCATTTAAAAACACAACCAAACATTCTTAAGACTACTAAATGAACATATAAATATATGGCAATTTATATAGCGTATTGTTTGGTTTCATGAATAAATTATCTTTAAAACTCAAATATTTCCAAGCAGAAATATCTTAAATAGAACACAGTTTAAAGTAATTTACAAATTTAAGTAGAAATATTTATCACAGAGCAGCTATAAAATTAAGGAAAAGAAAATAGAGCTGAACATTTAAAAATATTTAGTCTGTATTACAACAAAACAAAGTTAAAAAAAAAAGAGCAGAAACATTTTCAAGTTCAGCAGAGAGCAAGGAGTAATTCTGATACATACAAAAAATGTCCTTTTGGAAAACAAAATTATGCTTAAGCAGAGTATTTTAAACTTACTGTTTAAATATATTTAAAAAAATTTATGTCATTACTCATTATTCTGAATGATCTCCCACTATAATATATTATATAAGATAAACTAAACAATTCATTATATTTTTTCTTACATTTGTAATACTGTATTCAGTTTATCCCCATCAAAACTACACATTACCAACAATCACTTATTACAAGTTCTCAAATATTGTTTTTTTTAAAAAACCTATGTAATAATGAATGTGTCACTTTCATCCAGGGTAGATTTCCTATATCTTTCAGACCAGAATACTAAATAAAATTGATTTATTTCTTTAAAATATTTTAAATTATTTAAGTTAATACTAATACATTTCTAATCTCATAATTAAATATAATTAAAGATATGAAAACATAATGGAAAAGTCTATTAAGTTTTACTTGCCTAAATGGAATTAACAAAAGCAAAGAAGTATAAAATCTGAATCACATGTTGACTTTAAAACTTCAGAAGTCCATCATTAATTTTTTTACACAGTTCTATTTACAAGAAACTGTGCTAAATACTATGATGAACTCAGTATCAATTTCTATACACATGATTTAACATGGATAAATGAGACATGTATACACAAAATATCAAAATACAAGTCATAGAGACAATGACAAATGAATTATAAAGAAAATTCATGCCAAATGAGGGATAAATTTGCATGGACAAGAAAAGTGAAAAAGTAAGGGTACAAAAACTCATGGAATGAAAGCTTACATCATATTACGAAAGGTGTTGAAGAAGAGATTAGTAGAGCTATAGTTTTCTTATAAATAATAGGAAATACTGCTGGGTATAGTGGCACACACCCATAATCCCAGTGACTAGGGAGGCTGAGGCAGGAAGATCACAAGTACAAGGACAGACTCAGCAACTTAGGAAGCCATTGTATCAAAATAAAAAAATAAAAAGGATGTAGGGGTATAGCTCAGTGGTAAGGTGACCCTGGCTTCAATCTCCAGTACACAAAAAAACAAAAGGTATGCAATATGAAAAAAGCTGCACTTACAAATTGGATCAATATCTATGATCAGTTTAAGGTGGCAAGTAATGGTAGAAGGGAGGCCATGAAGAGATAGTTCTAATATTCCAGACAGAAAAAGTAGACTTTAAACACAAATTTGAAGAGAACATGGTGATTTTATGGGGGAAAAAAATGGAAAGGCAGAATGTAGAAAGAGACCAAAGATGACTTCAGAATTTTGAATGGAGAGGATACAAAAAGAATGATAGAAATATAAAACATAAAATCCAAGCTTTCTTAAAAAGAATAAATACAACAAGTTTTGAAACCACTGTGCAATAAAAGTAACATATATACCTTAGAGTGGTAACTAGGTTTTAAGTATAAATCAGTTGCTTTCTTATTCTCATCTAATAAAAAGTCAGAGGATACACTGAAATGCAGTCAGAGATAAAGAACATAGGTCCAAGAGCCAACACAATCAGGTCTCAGACATAGTTCTGACACTTTTTAGCTCTGTGACCTCAGACAAGTCGCTCAAATATCATACATTCTTCAGCAGAAAATGAAAGTGATAACTGCAGCAAGCTCCAAAGATGCTCTGAAGACTGAATGGGATGATGAGTACTTAGCAGAGTGCTGAACACATAAGAGATATGAGACAGCTAGTATCATTATTACCACTGATTTCTCTCCCTATTTAATATATCTTTCAAGACTGGCAAAAGGATAAGTAGAAAAAATGCTCTTCCCAACTGACTATCCTTAATAAGTCATTGATTTAATTCAATAAAATTTCTCCTTTGTTTCCTCTACAGAGCATTATTTTGGTAAAAAATGAAGAAAACTTTATCTATTATAATTTTAAACTGCAAAAAGCATTTTTGTTAGGTAGATGGAAAATTACTACCTGCTTCTGATTATCCATGCCAGCAAAACAGCTTATTGGTGCAGATAATCAAAAACCAACAAATAATCTAACCAGCTGGACCAGGGCTCAACACTTACTCCCTGTGTCAGGAAAATCTGCCATGGCACCAACTCCATCAGTTAGAAGAGAAATCTCTTGCCAGAAATGCCATGCTCCCACTGGCAGGATAACCCCTTGCCTCACCCAACTAGGTCAGGGCTGTTTCCTTGGCTATATATGGTGGCTCAGGAATGAAAGACCAACAACAGTCATAGGCCAACTGTATGTTACTCTCAAAGTACACTATTAACCTGCATGTCTACAATGCAGTTTTACGTCATTATCCTTTTGCCAACTGGGCAAGGAAGGTCCAGATAGCTCTGTATCTTACCAAAAGGTATTCTTCAAATCATGAATAGATTGGCTGAAGACATAGCTTATTGGTAAAGCCCTTACCTAGCATGTACAGGATATGGGTTCAAGCCCCAGTACCTCAAAAAAAAAAAAAAAAAAGACTATAGCCACCAGAACAGCTTAAAGTAGGAACTGTTAAAATTGGTTAGGAGAAGAGTACCAGGAATGGGACATGAAGAAATGGAGATTGATTACTGTTAATATTCTTCCACACTGTGGAAAGTTTTTTCTTAATAATGGACATATGTGACTTTATTTTTATTATTGATTAATTTTTCTTACCAAAGTAATTCACCTAACATGAGCTAAATAGTACTCAATTTTTCATAGCAAAGAAGAGCAGTGTCTTTTGACCTATCTCCAAACCTAATCTCCAATGGCACATTATTAACTGTTATTTTTCTTTATATTTTTAAATGACATGCTTCTATTGCTATTTTTTGATTTTGCAATATTAGACATTATACATCAATTTCCTATATTAAAGGTGACACAGTTAATTTTAGTATGTGCTTGTAGTCCCAGCTACAAAGTTGAGGCAGGAAGACCCCTTAAGTCTAGGAATTTGAGGCCAGCCTGGGCAACAACATAATGAAACCCTGTTTCAAAAAAAAAAAATTTTTTTAAAAAAGGAACAATTAAGTTCTCTTATACCAGCTACCCTACATATCCAACTTATGCTCCCATATAAAATTTTTGGTTAATCATTAGTCAGTAGTTCATTTATATTATGATTATGGAAAATTTGCTCACTACTAAGATGACCATTACTTTAATTTTCCTATATTATTTCTGAAATTAATTGCCTAGTCTTTTGTTTTATTTTGAGAAGGGGTCTTGCTATGCTGCCTAGGCTGCCCTTAAAATCCTGGCCTCAACTGTTCTCTTCCCTCAGTCTCCCAGGTAGCTGGGACTATAAGCATGTGTCATCATACCTGACTGTCTAAATTTTTGATAGTTTATTTTTCTAGGTAACTGATATTTGCCCCCAAAGTATTCAAACAGTATTGCCAAATATGTATCAATAATATTTTTTCAAATGATCAAATAAGGATAAACTATAAGTTCCTTTATAACCATCCCTCATGTATCCTTGGTGCTTTATGTCTAGCTTTTTTGATCTCTGGCTTGTGTCAAGTGTTATGTGTGTGTGTGTGTATGTGTGTGTGTATGTATGGTAGAGGGAGATTGAGCTACATTTTCAAGATAGCTTTCATAAGAAAGAGTGCAAAAAATACATTTTGGGGTATATCTGTATGCTTCAAAATGCTGTTATTATATGATAAACTTAATAATCTGGCTTGAGTATAAAGTTCTATTTGAATTAATGTTCACTCAGGATTTTTAAGAAACTACTCCATTGTCTTTAAGATTCTAATATTATAATTGAAAAGCACTATATTTTTCTGATCCCTAATACTTTTTTTGTTCCTAGAAACTTTCATAGTTATCTTTTTTTCCCATGATTTAAAAAATTTTACTGTGTTAGACCCTGGAATAGGCTCTTTTTCATTCTTTATGTGTTGTTTTCAATGGGTCCTTGTCAATCTAGAGGCTTATTTTCCTTAATTTGAAGACAGTATCTTGTATTACAATTCTAAAGTTAAATTTTGATACCATAAACATTAATATTTCCTCTTTTATAACTCTAGATATTAGTTGTTGGCCTTATTAGATGGATTATCTAACTTACTTGCATTTTTCAA